CCAATCGGAATCGCGAACACCCTAGATACATTGATGAGTGTGTGAAAACTCGCTCTTCATAAAGAGAGGGAGAAGAAAAAAAAAAAACAAAGAGATGGTTTTTTTTTTTTTTCTTAATAATTTTCTTTGTGCTGCTGTTTCCCAAGCCTGACTTGCCTGCCTTATCATAATGGATGAGGAACATTATGTTGGATGAGATGGTGATCCAATCTGAATTTAATCCTAGCATATAGCAGAGAGAATGGAATAAAACACCTGCGGAACAATGATATGTTGGATGGAGATCCAATTTGAATTTAATCCTAGCCTAAAGCAGTGAGAATGGAATAAAACACCACCAAGACACAAATTTCATTGCTCAATATCAAAATAAGAGCAACACACATCAATATTAATAAACATAGAAGAAAACAAAATTCATAAGAGTTTTGACAAACTTCATAATTCAAACAGGCACTATTTAGATATTTCTTTTGACAAACTAGAAGATTCCATGTAGAACTTTGGATAGAGCGTTGAAGTGTTCACAAGTAATAAGCCATAACAATTTAATGATAGAAAAGTTCATAGTTTGAAAACTCTGTTATACTCTGTTTTGACATAAACTCTCTGTTTGGGCTTTCAATCTTCAATGCAGAGGATGGTGGTAGCTAGGGAGGTAAGGAAAATTGAAAAAATTAACCAAATCGATTGAACCAAATTGAACCGGTCATATTTGATTGGTATTTTAATATGAATTGGCTTGTTCAGTTTTGAAAATTATTTGTTTTTTGATTTTCGATTCGGTATCGGATTTGACATATTGTACAGTGATATTCATTGAAACCGACGATAGATGTTTACATATAATAAAATTATTGTTTTAATTTTTGATTTTATTTTGATGTTAAAACTTTGGTTCTTAAATTATATTTTATTTCTAATTCTAATTTATTAAAAGCTTCAAGCATTACTATGTGTTAAATTTTTGTTTGTATTTTTGTGAATAGTTAGATTGGATATGATTAAAATTATGTACAAATGGTTGATTTGATATTTTTATATAAATTATTTATTATATTACAAATTTAAGAAACGACTCATTTTGAAAATACTTAAATCGATTAAATCACATTGAGCCGAACCATTTGAATTGGTGTGATTTGGTAAAAAATATTATTTGTATCTATTTTTAATATAATAAAACCAACATTATTAGTTTAATATAAAATTTCACTTAAATACAAACTATCTTGAACCGATTACATCTATAGTGGTAGCGAGAGGACAGAAGAGAGAGAGAGAGAAATGAGCGTTTGCAAAGAAAGAGAGGAGAGAGAAAGGAGCATGGGCCATTTTTTGTCCATGTCATTAGGAGTTTATTGAGGTCTCAAATTGGAAAAGTTATTGGTTGGTCTTTGATATCACTATGTAGTGTTCCAATGAGATTGTAATTAGTGGAGGAGGTAGGATTCGTGAATTTGTGTTAGATGATCAAAGAATATAAGAGAACATGATGAATTATGATTGATGAAAGATATAGCTAGGTGACGTCCCTGGAGCAATAAATAATTTTTGCTCAAATTAGAGCTCTAAAGCATTTTTTATTTGAATTATCAAACAAAAAAATAAGGGTTAATTAAATTAACAGTATCTGTAGGTTGTGATTTGTGTTTTCAATAGTCATATATTTGATCTTGATTTTTAAATTTTATTTCAAATAAAGACAATCAAATATGTTTTATTTGCAAACAATTCATTTCAAGAGTAAAGTCGTCGTACAACTTATTTTATATTAGTTAACTTTTAAGTTGTTTGAAATGTAATGACATTTTTCTTTAATGAATAATGTTGGTACTTTCTTAGTTATAAAGTTCTATTTTGTTTGGTTTTAAGAATCTATTTTTAGAAAAAAAATTCTAAGAAACTAAAAATTTAAAATGCATCGTTTTATATAATTTTATCTTTTGGGAGAGTAAAAATAATTTTTAAAATTTTTTTTTTGTTATTTATTTTCGTTAAATTAGTTTTTATTTTTTCAAAAGTCTAATATGGTGACAAATTTAATATCATTATTAAACCAATCCATTAAATCAAAAAATTCAAAATTAAAAAAATAAAAGTGTAAAAAATTATCATTTTTGTATAATTTTATCTTTGATAGGTAGAAATAATTTTTAGAAATTCAAAAATAATTTTTGACATTTATTTTTGTTAAACTAATTTCTATTTTATCAAATTGACGACTTTGTCTTTAAAATGGAATAATAATGCTCTTAATTGTCCTTATTTGAAACGAGATTTAGTGATGTTTTGAGAAGTTGGTAAAAAATTGACTTTTGACTTTTTTAGTCAAAAAAACTAGCTTTTTTTGGCTAAAAAAGCTAAAAGCTAGCTTTTTGCTAACTTCCCAAATTAAAATTCAAAATCAAATATATCACAATTAAAAAGTTAAAGATTAAAGTGATACAAGTTCCAAATTATAAGAACTATTAATGTAATTCACCAAAAAATAATATAATAAAAATAATACCAGTCTTGGTGTCATATTTGGCACGAGGATTGACATAGTTACTAATTTTGAACGTAAAATATTATTTCATCTGGATGATATAATAGTGTTATTTATATAATTAAAGATATTTCAATAGGCAATTTATTTATTTTAAAGTAATAGGCTTAAAACCTAACCAAGTGTGATTATGAACTCCTTTCCATGGAGTCGTGATCTTCATCGAATCACTTGAATTGGTGGCTTTAAAGAGCTTAATCTATAACCAAAAATTTCAAGAATTAGAAACACATAATTCATATGACAGATTTCATCTTTTTGTAAGTCTCGCATGAAAAATAATTATTTTTGATTTTGTGTACAAAATTGTTATTTTGTAAATTGGGCACGGGAAGTGAAACTATTACTAAGGTCTCGTTTGGCAAGTAGTTATTTTAGTTTAAAAGTAAAAAAGTTGTTAAAAAAAATCAAAAAACATATAATTTATTTTAAAAAGTCAAAAATTTCATTTTCTCTTTATTTTTTGCACATCTTTTTGTAAAAAGTTAAAAATTATTCTAAACATATTATTTTTTTTTACCTTATACTTTAATCAAAAAATTAAAAAATTATTAAAATAACATGTTCCTAAACGAGGCGTGAGAATCAACATCAGCTATGATGGAGAATTGCTGGCTTTACAATGATGGCTCTCTTTTTACATTGTCCAAAACATCATTATTTGGAAACAAAATTAGATGCATTCATCAAATGGTTCTTAAAGAATTCTTGGATGACTTTGTTTCAAGATATTATAATTTAAAGGACTCTCTAGTGCGTGTTTGGTAGAAAGAAAAGGAAGAGTTATAATATACTTCCTTTGTTTCACTTGTAATTCATTCTCTATTATTTCTGAATCTTGAATTTATTAAGGAAAAAACAATTAGGTAAAGCATATTCTCTCTCTCTTTTTATTTTTAAGGGCACTCAGTTCATAAATTTAATTATGATTTTTTTTTATTCAAAAATTTACACTCTAAAATAATTTGTTAGACAATTTAATTTATTTTTATATTTTTAGTTGTGTAGTTTATTCTGTATTTTATTCTTCAATAAAAAAATTGGTTTGTCATTTCTATTGAATTCATTTTATATATTTTTCTTGTATTTTTATAGAAAAATGCCAGCATTCCTACGAAGTTGGGGGAAAATGTCTCTATTTATACAAGTAGGGGAATCCCTAACCATAAACACTATACATCAATAGGGTCATCAAATGCTATTAACCAAGGTCATCAACTTTAGCCATTATTAGGGCGAGAGTTACAAACGTTGAAAATCTATAGCCATTAATATGGTTATCAACTCCATTATCAAAATATTAGAGTTACAAAAAACTTACATTTCTCATGTGCTTAATATATATAAATAAATATGTATATACTAATATTTGAATAACTCAACTAGATGAGTTATAAAATGGATACTAATATAGGATTACAACCCGATCTAAGTCCATTTCTCAAACACATTCACAGTTAAGTCCAATACAAGTCCAAGTCCAAGTCCAAGTCCAAGACCAAGACCAAACTCAACATATGCACAAGTACAAGCCTAGGCCCAATCTAAATCAAGATTAACCCCCGAATTTAAGCCAAACTTTATTGATGCCTACTTTATGAGACAATTTTTATTCATAATTCAATGGTTTCGGCTCATTAGTTTTGTATTGCTGTCTTCTCATTTAAGAAAATACAAAACTATTCAGATCCACCGCAATCAGTGATTGAGTTGCACTTTAATTTCGAATTAAAATTATCAAAAAAAAAAAAACCATTATTTTACAGCTGATATAGTATTAGTTTTGAGTTCATAGCTAGTATTCGACACCGTACACCTAGTGTTCAGCAAATCCCACTTTACTGGGGGATCTACTCATAAGTCAAAAATTTCAACAAATGCAAAACAAATTACAGTTTTTTTTTTTTTTCAGAGAATATTACACATAATAAATGATGAGAACTCATAAACTCGAACTTACCAATAAGATTCATCCTAATGTGTGCATATCTCACTTCTTCCCACCACCAGAAACATTTATTATTAGTTTTTTTGAACTACACCACCAGAAACATTCAACTTGAACAATATGACATCTCCGTCGTGGACCACGTATGCTTTTCCCTTCTTGTCTCTACTTCCTGGCAGCCGATGCAAGAAAAACAAAATTAAGCCAAAACACTAAAAAAGAATCCAAAAGGGTTGGACCAATTGAAGAAGTAATAGCCAAGACTAAAGAGAAGGAATTGAAAATGAATTAATGAAGGTATAATAGTACTAATGAAGCTGGCTCATTTTATTGCGGTCTTTTTTCTTCTTTAATGAACTTTTTCTTTTTAAAATTACACTACAGGAAATATATGATTTAACGGCGTTTCTTTAAACGCCACTATTTTTAATATTTAACGACATTTTATAAACGTCACATTTTGTTTTTATTAAAACGGTACCGTTTAAGTAATGAAGTTGTTTAAAAAGCGCCTTCGAATGTGTTACACTGTTTCTCTCTCTCTGCCTTCAAGCCCTCAAATCTCTCACAACTTATTTGAATCTGAGAAACCCTAGAGTCTCAAAGAAACCGATCCCTCAAATCTCTCACTCTCTCTCTCTCTCTCTAAGCCCTTCAGTTCCTTCAACTTGATTCAACCTTCTTCAGCTCGGTGATTCATCATTCGATCGATCCAATCTCAGAATGATTTTGATTTCAAAGCTCCACCGCCACCGCCATCACCATCTGCATCTGCATCTGCATCGCCTACTAACGATATGCATGATTTCGATTTTGATTTCGATTTCAATCGAATCTCAGTTTCGTCGATTCTTCTCTCTCTCGATCTCTGTCTCTGTCTCCCTCTCTCTCTCGATCTCTCTGGATCTCTGTCTCTCTCGCACAATCTCATTCTCTACGTACACATTATCTGTACTTTTTTTTGAATAATTTTTTTCCCCTAAAAATCTCTCTATACAAGTATATATATGAATTTATATATGTATCTCTATGTATTGATTGAATAATCATCCTTATTTTGTTTTCAGGCTCACGAATGATCCAATCGTGATCGGCAGTGACGGAAAAAATTATGAAGGTTTTTGGCAGAGTTCATCCTGATTTTTGGCTGTTGATACTGACTTTGAACTTTCACTCTCATGGCTCCCACTCATTTTAGTTGCTCATTTCTTGCCTGAATATATTAGGACTATTTGCTCTATTTTACTTGACATAAATAGCTTCCTAAGTTACTTATAAAGAAAATCTTGTTAAAGGTGGTTTAAAGTCTCTGCAAGCTTGTCAGCAACTTGGGATCGAACCATGGTCATGCACTTACTGCACCGATTAAGAAAATCTAACATGCCATCTCATCTTGCTATGCTCTATTAAGTGATGGTTTTTATGGTTAACTACTCAGTTTATAATTCCACAAATGAAGAGCATTTAAGTGCTATGCACACAATTGCGCATACTTATCATTAATTAGCATGTAGACATTTATACTTTAGCTGGTTTTGCTACATGCTGAACTTTTGCTGTGGTGTTTATCTGGGACATTGTCAGATTACTAGAGTACAGACTAATATTTTCGTTTTTCTTGCGCTACGTAGATGGAGCTTATTGCCAAAATGAGGAATCCGTTTATTGTGGAGTATAAAGATTCTTGGGTAGAGAAGGTCAGTAGATGTTATATCTCGTATTATTGATGTTGTTCAATTGACATTGGTATTTTCTTTCATCCTTTGTTTTCTGATGGTCTAATAGGCTACCTGAATGTCTATTCTATTTGTTTTTGTTCCTTCCTTCCTGTCATGCTGATATTGCTTTCATATGCTTCATTGTTTAACCCAGTTGATCATTGGTCTTAACATTATGAAACTTTACTAATTAAATGCCATCATTTATGGATCTCTCTCTCTCTCTCTCTCTCTATACATATATATATATATATTATTTTGTGTAGTTCTCTAAATCCAACATGTGTTTTCCTCTGCTCATCTAGATTATGAAAGTTTTAAGAAGCTAATTAAGCAATGTCATGAAGTAAAACTGTTACAGTGACTTTCCTCTTTTATTTATTTTTCTATTCACGTCAGAATAGTTGTGCTCTCTTAAGCTAATTAAGCTAGTTGTGCTCTCTTAATAATTTTTCTATTCACTTCAGAATAGTTGCATATGGTCTATCATTTTTTGGATGTTACAATTCACAATTTCATTGTCTTGGCTCTCAGGTCTGCTATGTATGCATCATTATTGGTTATTGTGAAGGAGGAGACATGTGAGTGACTTTTCTGGCTAAAACTGCAATACTTGGCTTAATCCATTTACTTGGGCTGAAACTTTACATGCAATCTATATGATGTCATCTTTTTTGCTACTTTGTCTTTTACAGGGCAGAAGCTATAAAGAAAGCAAATGGTGTTCTTTTTTCCGATGAGGTTGTTTTGTATTTCTAGTAGCTTAGCATCACATTTATATTGTTTCGTTTTCTTTTCTGTTGTCGCAATCTAGATTGTACTGCATTCTACCTCCCACCTCTGCAGTTTTCAATTTGTATCAGCTCACAATTTCTTTGTTCACTGATACATTGATGTTAAATTGTTTATAGAAGCTGTGTAAATAGCTTGTTCAGTAGACATTGATGTTAAATTGTTTATAGAAGCTGTGTAAATAGCTTGTTCAATTGCTTATGGCTCTGACTACTTACATGTGAATCATATTCTTCATCGAGATGTTAAGGTAAGTTGCATCTATCTGTATACTTGAGGATTTATGAATTATCCTTCTGAAATTGCATGTTACTGACAGTCTTGTTCTTGCGGTGTTCAAATATATTCTTGGCAAAAGATCAAGACATACGTCTTGGTAAGTGATATGTTTTCTTTCTTTAATAGTCTTGAGAGGTGTCAGTATTTTGCTGAATCACCATTGATTAATCCTGTTGTAGGTGATTTTGGACTTGCTAAGATGTTGACATCAGATGATCTTGCATCCTCTGTAAGTCTTGTGGTTAACTGGTTCATTTTTCAAGTTTCAACATTTGCATTAGTTTTATCCTTCAGACCTCTTTGGTTGATTCTTTCATTGCAGTTTGGTACTGTTATGCCATATTAGAAAGAAATTATGAGCAGGAACATTTACTATTAGAAAGAAATTTGTTTCAACACCGTGTTCACTTTAGTTTGTTTTTTTTGTGCATATGTCATTGTCGATGGATTGGTTGGTTTGTAGCTTGGTCATCAAGATGAGAACAGTGAGATATATAAAAGCATTATGCTAAACTGTGTCAAGTATTTAAATAAATCTTTTTCTGTTGATCCTCATTCTTTTTATTACTATTATTATTGTTGTTATTATTAATTTTACTACCATGGTGCGCTACATTTGTATCTTTGAAATTATCTATTGATAGAAGAATTAGAGATTTTGTTCTTGGCTTCTCAAAATTATCTATTGATTGTAACTATGAATCTTTTAATTTTCTATTGTCAAATTTTATAAATTTCACCTTTAATAGAATTGTTCCCTTAGAAGATGAATTTAAGATCCTACATATTGTTATAAATTAATTTCTCTCTCTCTCTCACGTGTGTGCGCATGCCGTGGTGTGGGCAATGAAGGGAGACATCCTGGAAGATCCAGCAAATGAGCCAAACAAAGATATGTACATGATGACTATTGAGCCAGAAGATGCACCCAACCAACCTGAGTAAGTTTGCTTGTTTGATGTGCATTTCAATTCCTTTAATTTAGTCAAATCTTGATTTATGCATTTGCTTCTTTGTTTTTCCCCCCCATGTAGATATGTACAAATTGGGATGGTTTCAGGGCTTCCTGTTTCAGTCAATGGAAAGGAATTCTCCCCTGCATCTCTGCTTTCTGAGCTGAATGAAATTGGTGGGCATATTATTTTTTTTTCTTTTCAAAAATCTGACTATGATGAGTTTTATTGATTGCATTGTGATCCAAGAACATGCATAAATGTCACCCCATGTATTGTACAATTGGGGGTAAGATCTTTCTCTTTTTGAAAATTTGTATAAAATTTCTCTCTCTCTCTCTCTCTCTCTCATACACACACACACAAATTTTGTTATATGCCATTCCGATTTTTAATTGGCCAAGTATTGTGTAGAAAATCTTCGAGGAATCCATGAGAGAGATGAATTCCAAATTCCTTAACCATTATATTGTGTTTTTCAATATTTTGATGTCATGCTGATAAGTGTATATAGCAATAGGGGCGATGCATTGAGCGAGTCCTGTTGATGAGCCTTAAGCTTTCTCCACCCCTTTGTGTGTTTTGTTGTGTGGTTATGCACTCATGCTCCTTTTACATGTTTGGGGATGTGCTTTTCTTTTAGTACTCGTGGTTGTTAATGTTATTGCCCAACAAAGAAAGTATTTGTATCAAATTGCACCTTACCCAACCATACCTATGAAGAATAATCATCAAAGTAGATTCAAACCTCAAGCCTCAGGGTGTTACCTCATGTCTTGATTTCCGTCTTTTAATTCTTTATTATGGAATGCTTCCTTGTTTTCTTTCTTTATTAATATTTTTTAATTTTTATTTTATTTTAATAAAAATAAAATAAAATAGCTGCTAATTCTTTATTATGGAATGCTCATGTGGCTTTAGATGCAGAGCAGGGTACTTATGTGCCTCCAGCATTGGAGGAAGATGGCAATATGCTGAATATGTCCAAAAGCTTGAATTCCATTGAAGAACCTCGTGTTTGCAAGACTGCAGGCATATGTAGCTATGTATTTCAAATCATTTACCAGGTAAGCATTCTCTAACAATATTGGTTTTTCCTTAATTACGTACAAATTTTAAAACATAATATCATATCCAGTATTTTCATTTTGTTGTCAGCTATTGATTCCTCATATTAAGTAAAGGGTGGGGAATGAAATGCAGCAATGTCATTTTTTGAGATTGTTCCGTCGTATGGGAGGGGTTAGGTTGAAGGCATTGATTAGGACTTCTGTTTAAATATTATTCATTTGAATTTTAGAGTCTAGAAGTGAATTGAATGAGGTGGGTAGTTTAAATATTATTCATTTTTTTTTTAAAATTTTAAATTGTATTTCTTTATTTTTATTTACTTTTTGTTTTTATGTCCAATACACCTACTTAGACATACAATAAACAAGTACATGTAAATAATCAAATTTACTATATGAGTATGCACTTCACTTTTATGCATAAAATGCTATATTTTAGGAAAATACTCTACATAAACAGATTTTTTTCCTAGAGTTCTGCTATACGTAAATGGATTTTTTTTTATCAAGTTTTTATTTTACACAGTTAATAGTCCAAATTAATAAATACAAGTGAGACCCATTGTTTTGTGTGTAACAGTAAAAAAATCTAGTGAAAAATCTGTTATGTAAAGAATTTCCTAAAAGATAAAAGAAGTATTTACCAAATGTAAACCTAATTGTATAATGATATCTTGACTTAAAAATTAGATAAATCCCTCACCTAGAAACACGGATGGGCACATAGAAGTCACAAATGAGGTTTGATGTCACTCACATATCTCAATTTCATCATAATTAGAGGATTGTGACCATCTTGATGCATCATTTCTTGCAGAGCACTTGAAGACTTAAAACGATTGAACGGAGTTAGTTATCAATTATTTGCTATATTATCATATTCTCTGATGTTTTGGCATTTGATAATGTTCACATAATTATGCTAATTAGGGTTATGCATTTTCTAGTTCTTAATTGTATTATCTGTTTGTGGGTCCGAATTCTTTTCCTTTTCTCTTATTGTAACTAGTACATGGCTATGGATGTGCACATTTCAACTTTTGTAGAATTAAAAATGTCCTTTTGTTTACTCTCAAAGGAGATTTGCCCAACATTATGTAGCCTTTTTGTTTATAAATTTTCCATCATTCAATATGGAAATGATTTTTGGAGTTTTAAATGTTGGTTCATGTGATTTCAGGTTCATGCTACTGAAAAAACTTCTTCAACATCGAGTTGAATGAAATACTTTTTGGGCAGGTATCCTAAAGCTTCCCCAATCATATTATTAGACATTCTTGTTATCATCCTCATCATCACCTTCATCATCTAGTGAAGTGAACAGATAAAAGCTAATGTTTACTTTATCTTACCTTCTTAACGAAACTGGATGATGGGAAGCAACATGGAGAGCGATTCAGAATGACAATGAAGGATGGATGGGGGCTTTCCTTCGGATTCTTATTTCTCTGCTTTTTTTCTTTTTTTCCTTTGATCTGATTGGGGAGTTGGGTGTTTTGGTTCACTTTCTTCTTATTTTTTGTGTTAAATGGGGGAGGGAGTGGTGAGAGATAGAGAGAGAGAAGAGAGTAATATTATTTTGTGGCTTTGTATACAAAGTAGTAATTAATTTTTTGGTTGAGAATTGTGAATACAATTTTTGGGGGTAATATTAAAATACCATTTGTGGATATGTTATTTTGTGGGTAATGGTGATTGGTGAATGGGAAAGTGAATTAATGATGCATTTGTTATTTGAATGTAAGTTGTTATTTCATATTAGTGTTTTTCAGTTTTATTATATGTATTTTTTTAGTTTAATCACATAAATTAGCACAATTTCAAAAAAAAAAAAAGGAGATATCACGGCGTTTTTGAACGCCACTTTAAACCTTAAATATTAGATTTTTTTAAAAAGATATGACGGCGTTTAAAAAATGTCGCAAAATATCATAATGACGTCATGATACTGTCAAGTAAGACATTTGGCGGCGTTTTTAAAAACGCCGCCTATACTCATATAACGACGTTTTTAAAACGTCATAAAGTTATAGCGACGGCCGCGTCCTCGGCGCTTGGTGCTAAGCGTCGCAAAAAGAATTAGCGGCGTTTTTGACACTTATAGCGGCGTTTTTTAAACGCCGCTAAAAGCTGAATTTCCAGCAGTGTTATATCAAACTTTTGTACTTCTTAAGACGGTCTATAGACTAAACCACCCTGAAAAAAATAAAATAAAATAAAAGATAAAAAAGAAGAAGCCAAATTTAATCGAAAGGCCTATAAAAATTGATTTATTTTTCTCTTTATTGAACTTTTTCAAAAAAATAATTTTTAGGATTGTCTAGTGTAGAAGTAACTATTTTGACCCCAAGTTTAAAAAGAAAAAAGAAAAAAGAAAAAAGAAAAAGGGTTAAATAGCTAAATCTGCAAATCCATGGTTGAACAAATGGCGTAGCTCATTAAAAATGTAATCAATATTTTGTTGGAACAATTTTCTGTGTAAAATAAATAAATTGAAATAAAATCAATAACTTACAGAATTTATTAATCAAACCGAACGAAAAACTAAATGACCAAGTCGAGTGTGTGACGCTCTGTCCTTAAGACAGATTCGCCCTGCTACGGTACTTACGATTATGTAGTGTCTATCTCTCAGGATACAATGATCTTCACAAATTTGTAGTAGTACTCCATATAAATTTGTCCGGCGAACTAGAACCTTGTGTTCTATATTCTCTTTAATTTTCCTAAAAATTAATATGAAGAATTTATGCAAATAGAGCAAGAAAATGAGGAGAACGTAATTTTTCTAGATGATTTTCAGACTGATTTCGGATCCCTAAGACTGCTGGAAATGGTCTGAATTTACAGGCAATCCAAACTGACCCGAATAGGTGCTAAAAGGAAGTGAACAGGTGTGAAACTGTTTTGAACAGATATGATTCAAAATTCAAACAGATCTGCAATTGCAACAGTTATAAAACTGTCCAGAACTGCTGGCAGTTTTATTTTCCAATCTATTTGAAACTTAGCAGTAATAAACCTGTCCAGAAAATCTGAACAGGTATGAAAACTACTGAACAGATGCAGTTCAACAGATCTGGTAACAGTTGAACCTGTGAATTGCAAGGCAAATTTGAATCTGTCTAGGTTCCAACAAATTCGAAAAACTGTTTGAAAAGTTTGATCTATTTGAAAAATTGGACTGAAGAAGTAAAAAATGGACAGAAAAATTAAATTCATAAATGAATTAATTTCGATAAGTTTTTTTGAAAAAGTTCAAATAAATTTTCTCCAAAAAATTAATATTAAAACCGTCATCGACCCACACTCACGCAGCTCGATTCGGCCGGACGGACGGCTGCAGCGGCGGCGCCGCACTCGCGTGCGTGTGGTGATTTGGGCTAAGGTTCACTTTGTCCATAACTCTTCCCTTCTACAAACTTGGGGTGCCTTTTGGGGCCCAACCCAAGTGTTGTAATTTAGAGCTTATATACTCAACAAAGCTCTCTTAAAATTTTAATATGGGACAACCCATTTCAAGGAAACCTACATTTAATTCTTTAAATGTTCATTCCACGAACCCAAAAATGACGTCAAGTTCCCATTCACTCATAAATGGTTTTGACGAACCATCTTCACCGTGTGACTTGCTATGCAGCAAGGAACACGTCACTTTTTCGGGCCCACCGTGAAAGATGTTTAGGGCCCACTCAAAGTTAGCCTAATAAGCCTATAAACCATTATTTCCAAAAATCCCCCACATGAATGGAATTTGACGGAGAGAAAATGCAACGACATGATCTAATTATAGAGAGTACAGAAATTGGAAATATTCTGCAAAAGATAGGTAGCTTTTGGCTTCGAACCTTCCCTTGTGAGACACTATCGGATTTACTAGCTAACTAGTGAACATGATATCTTGAACTGTTCAGCCGTTTGTGTAAACCAAGACAATAGAACTCACACAGTATATCCCCAGACAAAGTTTAGTTCTAACTATTGTGTTCATTTTGGCTCCGAACAACCTGGTCTTTCACGAGTGCTCTAGAAAATTGTAACCCTTCACAAATCTCATAGAACCGGCCCAGTTTACACTCATATAGGTAATTCTTATGAAGGGTATCCTGTCATACTCCACTGGGTTTACCTAGACATAAGAATCATTAAAATTTTACTTTACCTAAAACGTTGCAGACATCACTATTTCATCATAGAAATGGATAGGAGTTAGACTCCCCAGTGATCCTTTTGAGTCATACACAACTCGGTTGTCCCTTTGAACCTAGGTCTTGGGATTTCCAGTCAACTAGGTGTAGACACCCCATTTTTGACCATCCTCAAGACTTGGACATCATCGTTTGAACACTCGATGATCATCCATGCTCGTGTTCGTTTTGAGTTCCCGAAGGTCTCGGCTGTGCGCCTTGCCTTAGGATCTCTCAACGTGTTCGTTTTGTGCTTGGCTGTGGACCAAGGACCTGTGATTTTGTTTCTGAGGGAATAGGGTGGCTTGTTGGCCATCCCTACAACCCATCGGCCAAGCCTTGTGCTTGTCAGCCTTGTTTCCTTGCCATTGGCCGTATGTGGTGGCCGATCGGCACTCTTTTTGGTCGATCGGCCATATTTTTTGGCCGAAACCTTTCTATCTGCTTTTTCAGATATTTTCATGCCAGCTGTGACAGCTGGTGAGCACAGTTTTCATCCTCCATACACGTGTATGGAGGGATTGATTCAAGTCCTTAGCTTGCTCAACAAGCTTAGGAATTGAATTTCTATAAGAAGGGAGACCCCTCTCCCTTTCCAGAGGTTCTGAAAAATTGAGATAGAAGTTATATATATATATATATATATCTCTATATTTCCTCTCTCTCTCTCTCTCTATATATATATATATATATTTGCACTTATTTGTGCTCAAAAGTGTAATTTCTTCATACTTTTGTACTAAAGCACCTACTAGAACACTATACTCTTGTTGCTGAGGTATTTGAGGCTTTTGTTTGAACTCAAAGTTTGGTTTTTTGGCTCAGAAAGTTACTGGAGTTGCCTCCTTGAAGGTGTTCTACA